TAATGACATGAATATGCTTAATATTACTACAATGACATGGTCAACTTTAAATATACCCCAAGCTCCATTCTATTCTGGTTATACTGCTACATTATTGCAATCTGGACTTATTGTTTATATTGGTGGATTTGATCTTAGTAATTTACCGGGAAGCAATGCGAATTTGTTGAATATGAGTGAGGCATGATTATATAATAATATGATTTTTTTGTTCTTGATACATATTAATAATTATATTAAACACAGATTCGAATGTTTAATACAACTAGTTATATTTGGTTTACTAAAGTATGAATCAATATATAAATAATATTACATATTGTTATTCATAAAATTTAAATATATATTATTTTTTATAACTTAGACAGCCAGTGGTAGTTTTATTGGAAGTCGCGTGGGTCATACGGCGGTCTTAGGTGAGTATTCTAAGTATTCTAAATTATAAATACTAAATAAACTATTAATTTTTAGTAATTATTATTATTTAATATTTTATAAGATCAAAATGAAAATATTATCATTTATGGTGGTGTAATGGATAGCGATACATTGGAACAAGTGTTTCCTCATCTTGCAATTTTAAATACAAGTAATTGGGTGTGGTCTATACCGAATATTTCTCCGATCAACTCTCCAAACCCACTCGCATTTCATTCCGCCGCATTTTATCAATATTATATGGTTCTTGCATTTGGTAAATAAAATAAATTATCATATTTTTAAATTTTATTTTTACAATAAAATTTACTAAAAATTATTAAAATGTATCCAGGTCAATTAGCATCGACAAGAGGATTTTATAATAAAGATGTTTACGTTCTCGATACACAAAAATATGTTTGGATTGGTGTAAATAACACTTATATCATGAACCAAATTTCTTTGATAAATCAAACAACACAGACAACTCAGACAAACAATGCACAAAAACCTTCAAATCCTTCATCTAATAATGGTTTACCTATTGGAATTGGTGTTGCATGTGGAATTGTGCTAATTGGATTGATATCTCTAGTTGCATTCTTGGCGCGAAAGTAACTAAATCTAGCATAGGCCCTCATAATTTTTACTAAACATTTAATTACTATGTATAGCAAAATTTTCATATAATGCTTCACGTATTTTATACAATGAAAAGATTCTTAATAATTTCAATAATAAATATGACTTTTCTAAAACGCACCTATGGTGTTTTACACCTATACATATATTATCTCAAAAGCTGGCTAATTAATCAATGCAATATGTCCTAAGTGAAAATGCTCTACGCCCATAAAACCCCTTCTCAAACCCTAACCCTAACCCTAATTACTAACACTAACATGAAAATTTTTATATTCAAACTTAGGAAATTTTAAAAAACATAATAAAACATGGGTGCGTTTTATAATAAATGATAAAGACTACTCCTTATACTCATGCACACCTGTGATAAACAGTGAAATGTGATTTAATAACCATCCTAGAAACAGATAAAACAAGTTTTTTTTTAAATTCTTTAGTAATTTTATTCACATAACACGTATATTGGACATTGAAAAGAACTTTATATCGGCTCTTGCAATTATCAATGTAAATGTAAATAAATTTTATTTAATATATTTAAATATACGTGCATAACATTTCGATTTCAGTGTTTGCAAAAAAATTTATTAAATTTGGTTTATATTTATGAAAGAGTTTAATACATGAAAGAATATTCAAAAATTAAATCGTAACTCTAAAGTATCTTTATCAATACTTCAAATAATTATGCAAATAAATATTATAATAAACAATTTTAATTTGTGTCTACAAGTAAAAAAAAAAAAAAAACCAAAAAAATGCATGTAAATTCAAATGTCCTAAATTTTTGTAAAAAATACTGTAAATGAATTCAAGTGTTATAATTACCTTTATATTTATTTACATTAGATTTATAAATCTCTTCAAAATATCGTACGTCAACAACATATTCAGTTAAAAATAATTGCAATGAATCAAGTCTTTTTTTCAGGTCGTAATTATTTAAAGAGGTGGATTTTGGACGATTGACTAATGGAATACATTCCAGACTATCCTTCAATTTAGTTTGTACTGAACGTTTTATTCCGCATCCATATTTCTGAATAAATCCCCATGGTTTAATAAAAGCGGTACCTAAAATATAATTTTGTTAATAATAATTAATAATATTTAATAATTATTATATTTAGATTTAAGTCAAGTAAAAATTTAATATAATGCTCTAAATCTAAAACT